CGAGACCCAATGCCAGCCACAATAGACACCAAGACTTCATAAAAGCCACGCTTTGTTATCATACGTTTATTTTTAACATAGCACCCCAGTTTCACATCATGTACATTTTCCAGAGTTGAAGCTCCTTAACCAACCATGTTCTTCACAGACTTCACGACAAGTGTGAAAAAGAGGCAGTAAGGTTAGCTTGAGTCTACAAGTCCAACTCCAAACATAGGGTAACCCTCCCTGGCCCGCCCCTCCCCACCCCAGGATTGATTTATGTGGAAGGTCAATATACATAATGTCCCCAATGCATAGCAAATGAATGAGACTCTGTAAAATAGTAGCACAATTTGTCAGCACACTATCATGAAAAGACAGAAGGCATCAAATATATACTTTGCTGTTACACTGTTTACTGTTTGATGTACCTGTAGTCAAAAAATATACATTTTTTTTAACTCTCAAGGTGAAAATAGACCATCAGCTCAGTCTCTCTCTTTCCCGACAGCTATGAAGACTAAAATGGCTCTTCTTGCCTGTGGCTCACTTCACTATCTTGTTTGTGCTGAAGAGAAAAAGAACGGCAGTGTTAAAGAAAAAGGGTCACCTGGCCCCCAAGATGGATGCAGTTGAAGCTCTCCTGTAAGTTGCCAGAAAAGACAAAACAAAAGCAATACAACTAAGCTGATCCGAGCTCTATACAAAGGGCTTCCGGCAGCCACCACTGCATTCCTGGGGCAGCGCTCCTACGGTCTAGCCCTCTTGTCCACCAGCGCACTTGAGGATGGTGCTTGGCCCTTCCTTACTGTACCTCAGTTCAAGCCACCTGCAAGCCTGGTCACTGTCAGGAGCAGGAACCTATTCTCCACAATCTCCCTGTGTTGGGGCTGACAGAGTAGCTAGACAAGTGAGGCCAGCCGAGGACTCCGCAAGCCCCAAGTCGCTCCTACTAAGGGACTCGAACCACACTGATCAGTGCTACAAAGTCCTCAACATGCCGGACAAGTCAACCTAGCACTTGAAATTTTACACGAGCCCACTTGAAACACAGTAAACCAACGGGAACCCGAAATCACAGTTACTAGTGTTCAATTCGACTGGAGGCAGACAGACCTCCCAGCTGCTATTTCATTTGCACATTCCTGACTGTTCACATATGAACCAACTGGGCCCTGCTTGTCACTAAAACGGCAGGATCTGAATGCTAATAGATTTAAGATGCTTCCCCCCCCTCCCATTTTCCAAAAGCACATTCCCTCGGTGAGATCTAGTTGGGAGGTGTGATTCTAGTTTGTGCTGAATGACATGTTTTTAGCTCGAAGGTGTTATGCTGGAGCTGCTCAGAAGACGACATCTGCAAGTGCCGTCTTCAGTTCCAGATAGCTCCCTTCCAGATTTTAACTTATTGATCCTCTAAGCACACGTCTGTTATTCCCGTGGCTCGGAGACCATTTAAGAAATAGACATCACTTAGAAATAGACTACAGAATCCAATCACATCTGAGGAGAAGAGTGCTTTGGGAGAGCGCAGACACTGGGAAGACATCAAAGGGAAATTCCTGGTTTTCATTACTCACCCTAAAAATAGAGATCGGATTGAACATTTGTGACCCAAACAGCCAAAGATATATTGAGCAAAACTATAACTTACTACCATATTGAGTTCATTTCAATCACAGTAGTCTATTTTAAAAACCAACTCCCATAAGGAATACAGGAATGGAATCTATTCCAAGCAACAGCTGTCAAAAGTCCTGCCAAGAAACTCGGGGTAACTTATTGCATCATGAAAGGTGAGTTGTTCAGAAGAACAAATAGTTCAATCATATTCTTTCCCTTCTGATTTTATCTTTTGTGTCGATCCAAGAGACACCTAGACATAACACCTATTAAAACATGTTTTTAAGATTATTTTAAGATGATCCATTAGGTCAATACAATTCAACACAGCAAACAGAAAGAATTCTTCAACTTTGAGGAATGCAAGTGACTGAAGGATGCAGCCCAGAATCCACCCGATCAGTCTGGTATTGTAATTTGGCCACCAGGTTCCTCTTTCAGTGGATTCTCAGGCCAGCAACTGTGGCTTTGCAGTGTTGATTTCCCCACGTGTACGCTTTAGTAGCTAGATGGCGGCCCTTCGCAGCTCTAACATCTAACATCCAATTCTCCAGTTACAGGAAGATGGGGCCAGCTTTGAGCTAAGTTTCCTTCTTTCCCTAACAGACCCACAGCCCTTCTCAAGGGTACCTATAAAACAGAAAGACCTTCCTAACTAAGACAACTATCTGCCTTAGTTACAAGAGACACATTGTTCCAGATCTTTGCCTTGTGGTTTGATTGCACGCCTACTGGAGAGGGCAAAGGCAAGAGGGCCACTGACCAGAGTCACTGAGAAAGCCAGGAAGTCCACAGCTAACTCCTCCTGTGCTGGAGGACCGCCCTGTGGGAAAGACTACCCCGTGACGAGGCGCACACACCGCCGGGCCTGGGGCATCACTGACCTGCCGTCTACAGAACTGTGCCCACCAGAGGTCTCATCCTGGTGCCTTCCCAAAACTAAAATTAAAGGCTCATAGAAACATCATCATGAGTTCTAATTCTAAATTACCAGGTGCATACTAAAAAGAAACAGCAACAGCAACAACAACAATAACAACAAAAAAACAGAACGAGAGGCGGAGCAATAGGTTAGATATCAATATGTGGGTACAGATCGCTTTGAAAAAAATTCTACTTCTAAGCAACGAATAGACTATGGTCACAGTTAGGTCAAGAAGGGTGGGTGTAGTGTTGGTGTGTGCTTTAATGTAGTGTCTACTGGGAGATACTGGGGAGACCATGGCTCTCAGGGGACTTGGTATGACTAGTACAATTTTTCTTTCTTTCTTTCTTGAAGGAGAACAAAACCAACTAAATAAAACCTTCTAACTTGGCTCACTTGCTTCAAGGAGCAGCAGCCTGGAAAGATTCTTTTTAAAAATTTTATTATTTGTGTGCACCATCAAAATTGGATCTGACTGGTACAGGAGGAGACTGTCCCTCCTTCTCCAGCAGAGGGTCTGGTGGATTCAAACCACACACCTCTGGGATTGCAGTGCAGCTTCTTGCCACTGGGCCACCAGAACTCGCCAAGCATAGCGACATTTCTCACACACAGAGCACAGACTAGCTCACAAGCCTTTGTTCCCACGCCTGGTTGATGGCGACGAGGTGCTTCACCAAGCGTGTCTGCACTGGGCAAGGATGAGATCCAGCGCATGCGCTCGTCTTTCCGCACCTGCTGCAAAATGTTTGCCACAAGCACAGTGTTCAGAAAATACGGTACAGCCCCCACACCTCAAGCCACTAGAGAGGAATGGGCATGGGCTCACTTCTCATCTCACAAAGGGATTAAATACACTCCTCACCCTTCCCACCACGACAGAAGGAGCAGGCACAGGGGAAGGAAGGAGGAAGAGGGACACCTTTCGTTCCCATCAATTGCCAATCCCTCATTATGCACAGTTGAGAAGCAGCAACTTCTCTTCCCCCTTTGAGAAAACACACCGTCATCTGTTTACGGCCTTCTGTTCTGCCAGCAATCTCTTACTAAGGCTTGAGAATGGCATGTGCAAGCAGTAAATAAATGTCTACTTTCCCCCTAAGAGCTCTAAGCTCTACTGAAATGAAGACTTGACCCTACATATTATGAAAACTATCCAAAACTACTTCCAAAAAGACCCTCAGCACACCACATATCTCTAGCCTAAGTGTGGACAGCGTGGCACACGAGGTGCCAGGGACAGCAATGCCTGCTTTGCTCTCTCGAAACGATGTTCAAGCGGACAGGCCCCGACCAACCCCTCCTCTCACCCTGGGTTCTGGGTTCTCCAATTGGAGCTTACCTCCGCTTTACACCTCCTCCACTGCATCTACTTGGTGCCTCTGGCCTGGCACTTGCCCAGTCACCTCCCAAGGGCATAGATGCTTCACAGGGAACCAAGTAGTCCAATGTGAGGACCAGCTTTCTTTCACTATCTCTTCACAGCCAACAAATTCATAATCCAAGTGAAAAGAACAAGAATGAAAATAACGACCGTGTCCCTCTTCTTCCCCTCGTTTGGATACCGTCGTACAAACAACAAATGTTTACCAACTCAAACAGTCTCATCAGCTTTTTGTATCTGATGGCGGTTTCCAAACTCATGCACTTACAGATATGCTGTCCTTGTGCAGGACAGGAATCGAGATCTGGCAACTATTTACTTAATGTGATCGGGCGAGGCAGTGAAAACAGACTGCTCTTGCCCCAAAATTCACATGAAAGGACTGAGTTGTCGAGGTTGACAGTCTAGCATGGCCAAGTGAAACAGATCAGAGCCAAAGCCTCTGCTTTACAGAGGTGGAAAGACTCAGTAAGTCTTTGACATTCAGTAGAAAACAATGGTCATGTATTATTTATAGGTAGATACGATATCAAAATGGCACTAGAGAAGCAATTTTTGGCATATAGTGGTGGAGGGCATAGTGCCAGTCTAAATGTGATGCTTTTGTTTTAGTTTATGTTTCATGGTTTGTTTGTATTACCATCCCTCCAAAGACTACCAAGCTGGAATCCCAATTATTCAGGACCCCAACCTATTGTATATACGCTAGACGTAGAAAAATAAAACAAGCATCCTCAAGGTACTTGGTTCTAAGATTTTGTACAAATCATAAAATCTTTAAATAAATAATGCTCTCAGCTCTTTTTCATTTGCTAGAAGATGGATTTTTGGTAAGGAGCAGCATCTAACACCTTGAGAACGTACTGAAGAATAGGAGAGAAATTTGAGTGATAATTACTATTTCATTTTTTCCCCCACCACAGTTAAAATGAACGCACAGATGAAATACAAGAGCAAAAGTGATGTGGGTTCTACTGTGCTGCTCACAGCTCTGGACACAGTCAGACAACTACGGCAAGGAGCGGAGCTCAAGCATTTGAAGGGAAGATCTTGGCAGAAAAGGTCGCTCGGCCCTCGAGAGGCCAGTCACAACACAGTGACCGGACGAAGCTGCTCCAGTTGGTTTTCCAATGCCATCCTTTCTTGGTGAACCTCCTGAGTGGTGAGAAACAGAGAAGAGAGACAAAAGAGCAAAGAGGTCATTTTCTGAGATCATCCCTGCGTCATCAAACACTCAAAAAGAAACTCAAAATGTGACCCACAAACAGGTATGTAAGCGCTGCATGTCTCACGGGAAGGTGGACCGAGGGGGGCAGACCGAACGCTGGTGACCAGACACAGTGAGCATCTCAACTCCTTTCTGAAAATGACGGCATGAAGTCTACAGATACACTTTTGCGTCATTAAAGTTGTGGCTTTTCCTTTGTCTTCTGATTCAAGTCAAAGTTTATAAAGCCAATTGGTTTTCCATTCAACCACTCATACAGAGCTTCTTTTGTGCCATTAATTACCAATTCACACAATGTAATCACAGCCTTCTCTCCTGCTACTACGATTCTTCTTTGCCTCCCGGCCTTCTGAGGTTTCTCTCAGGGAAAATGCTGCCCTTTGGATCAGATGTGGACGGGTACTCTAAGGAGTGGTGTCTTCCCAGTGTCACTGTTCACTCTGTAGACCTGTCTGTTGTTAGGCTGAAAGGTGAGCCAGTGGGCTGAGCCATGTTCCAGGACTGCCGGTCGCTGCAGGTCACAGTCTCATATCTGGGGTTCCACCAGTTACTCCCAGACTCGTAAACATGCCACTTTTCTGTTTTCTTGAGTTTTGGTCCACATTTTCCCTCCACTCTATTCTCACCCACCCAGGTTTATCAAGATAAGTGGCTGTGAGAGAACAGCATTAAAAACCAAAAATATCATCAGACTGACTGGGAGGGAGCAGAGAAGTCAGAGCCAAGCCCCACTGAGCTGAGAGGTGAGCCTCGTCAAGTATGAGGGAGGGAGAAGTACACCAGGTCCCGCTCGTCACCAAGTGTACTCCGGTCAGCTGTACAAGATCCAACTTACTGTGACTTCTCAGTGATGGCCACATTAAAAAAAAAACAACCCAACTACCTGCAATCTGCTCCCTGGGAATTCATAAATGGCAGCACAAACACAGAAGCGGAGGAAGAGGGTGGGAGATGGCATAAACAAGGCAGTCTTCAGTCAAATGTCAAGGTTATAAAGAATTCCATGTAAGGGCTCAATTCTGAGATGTCCTGGATAAACCAATAAAACTCCATGCATATATATGCACTTTCTACCTCTCTATTCATCCAGTAGTCTGTGAGCACCTGTGATGGTTAAGACTGTATGTGAACTTGGCTGGGCCATGATTCTCAGCAGTTTGGCAGGCAGGAGAGAGCTTGACGATTTTAAGTAATGATTATCCCCCATGATGAGTTGTAACATAATGTCGTCACCTTCGTGACTGCTACACGTAGTCCATCAACTGAAGGGGCGTTTTCTTAGGGATGTGGCCTCCATCCAATATATATAAACATTCTGGCAAATCTCGCTGGCTCTCTGCTTCATCTTGTCCTGCATCTGGCTTGTCATGATTTGACTTCTGGTTCCCTGGACTTGAGTCAGTGGGCAGCCCATTGCCTGCCAATCTCGTGAATCATTAGCCTCAGTGGCTGTGAGCCAGCAACCTACTGCCTTACCTGCCAATCTTGGCTTCACTGGTCCCTGAAACCGCAGGAGTCAGGAGAAGTCTTCAGCTTGATGGCCGACCCCTGGGCTTAGAGTTTGCCATCTTCTATAAGCTAGTTCCTTCTTTGAGATAAACACTTTTCTCAGTCTGTATCTCTATCTATAAGCTTCCCTGGTTTCCATTCTGTACTATGGGACAGAGAGAGGCTGTTCTCAGTGTGATGGTATCAACAAAGAAAGACACAGATAAGACCAACACCGCTATGGGACTTCTCAAACATCTGGAGTAGGACAAGAAGGTGAAAGAAGATCATTTCCGAAGGAATGAAATGCTAGAAAGGAAGATGGAGAAGTCGGGAGATGGGTACAGAGGGCAGTCCAGGAAGGCATCTTGGAGGTGACGCTATGTGAGCAGAGTCGAGGCTGGGGTGAGAGAATGAGCCATGTAAAGATACGGAGGTACACTCTTCAGGAAGATGAAATAGCAACTGCAGATTCCAGAGCCCTGGGAATGGACAGGCAGGAAGGAACTTGGGTTGTCTGATGAAGAAAGCCTCATGACCAGACAGGACGAGCAAGGAAGACACTGTTGTGGACGAATACAGCTTCTGGTCTTTATGCTCTCTTATCTCCCAGCCCTTGAAAGGCACTCCCTGTAGGTCATCTAGGAAGAAAAGACACTCTGGAGCAGTGGCAGGGGGATGGCAGAGAGGTGGCAGGCTCCTCAGCGTCGCTGGTCCTAGGTGCTGTGGCATCCCCGTGAAGGAGGTCCCCTCCCTCTGAGCTGGGGTGCCTATAGGCTCCCCTTCCCAGCACCGACAGTGGCTGCTCCCTCCCAGGCCTCCGCCAGTCCCTCAGACCCGAGCTGGAAGGCTCTCCCTCCATCCCATCTACTCCTGAGCTTCAGGCAGGCTTGCCTTCAGACCATTAGCAGAGGGGAGAAATGATTATCTTGGAGGAACTTGGGATCCTGAGATTCTTCATAGACATGCCCATTTGTATTTACTTTTCACAGTTTTCAGATCGGTGTTGTACTCTGTCTGCATTTGATAGTTAAGGTGGTGAGGTTATAAGGCCATAAGGCCATGTGTTTCAACTCCGTCTTGGTGCATCAGAATCCACCCTCCTTTTTTTTTTTTTTTTTTTGCTTTGCAGTAGCAATATTAAAAGGTAGACAGTGATGTCTTCAAAATTCTGAAAGAAACTTTGACTTAACCTACAATTCTTTATTCAGTCATGCCACACCATCAATACAGTATGAGAGTATAATAAAGTAATTCTCAGATGTGCAAGGTTTTAAAAAAAATCATCTTCTATTTCTCCTTTTCCTAACATAACGTACTGCCCCAGAGAGGAAGGATGGCAAGAAACAAGACACAAACTACAAAAAAAAAAAAAAAAAAGAAGAGCAGGAAATATGTCAGCTGGTGGTGACAAAGGACCACAAGGTGGCACCTGAGTCCCAGGTGTAAGAGGCTATAGGGCCAGACTGGACTAGGCCAGAGGATTCCAGACAGGTGTCTAGAAAGTTGGGGAAACTGACCCAGTAACTTATTCACCCAGACACCTTAAGAAAAGATGTACAAAACAGACACAGCCTGGGGCGGAGCTGAGTACAGCCAAAATGAAGACCAAGTAAATGAGGAAGAAGACAATTTTCACTTCGGGGAATGCAAAATGTCTTACCTGAAAAGAAAGCTAATCATTTTAGACCAGATGGCTCGGTGGGCTACCACTCAGAAGCAAAAGGCAGAGCGTTTCGAGTGGGGGAGAAAATGCCAAAAGAATCATCTCTACGAGGTGAAAGGAAGTGATTCTGGGGAGGGGAAAATGGGGCGGCGGGGGTGTATGGAAGACTGGAGAGCTATTTGTCCAACAACATTATGGACCTAAAGAAACCTAAACTATGTATGTGTGTAATTTGGATGAAAACGTGGACGTGAGAAATGTGTTCGGTGTTGGGAGCCCTGGTGGCTTGGTGGTGAAGAGCTGCACTGCCAATTGCAAAGGCAGGCGGTTTGAATCCAGCAGTCGCTCTGCAGGAGAGAGGTGGGTGTTCTCCTCCTGTGCATGGGGTCTCTGAAAACTGCCGGCGGGTCAGCTGTAACCTGAGGGGGTACACAACAACAGCACCAATACTTCCGCGTCACACTGGAGGACCCACTCTTTGGAATAAACAACGAAACATTACTACATCTCATCAATTTTGGAAAGGAAATTCTACCAACGTGATACGCCTGTGGGAATGACTAAATCAGCCACAAAACTACTAAAACTAATAAAGTATTTTAGCAATGTCATAACACATGAATTTCAGATGCAAACTATATTTTTACACATTTGCCATAAACATCAAATGAAACTGAAAGATTTATAGTTGTGGTAAAAATACTTGAGAATAAAGTTAATAAAAGCTGTGTCAAACTCTAATCTCAAGGCTGCTGGGAGATATTCTAGAAGAACTAAAATAAACAGAGAGAGATACTCTGTTCGTGACCTGAGACACTCACTATAGTTTTCTATGTCAGTTCTACCCAAATTGATTAATGACCAGAGAAAGAGGTGCTGAGGACGGGGTGAAGCCTATGAGGAGGTGAAGGGAACGTCTTCCAAGGAGTCCTGAGAAGAGATGGCCTTAGACAGCACCAGGGCTGCCCCTGCCATGTCTTAAAGACAGCATCATTCAGAGATGACTGGGACAATTACACATTTTCCTTGGAGCTTTTTGGGACCAAAAAAGGATGCTCCCAATAGCCTTTGCAATACGATCTCTGTATCTCTGTCCTCTGACTTTCCATGCAGGCGGGACCTCAGAGGTCTCGAGACCGTCCTTCTTGACGACCACAAAAGCAAATTTCTTTCGTCTCCCAGTCCCCCAGAAGTTATGTGTCCACTCCACTGCAGTCAATTAGCCATGCGCGACTCTAATGAAGAACTGATATATGGTGAGAATGACCACAGGCTGTTGGAGAAATGGCCATCAATAGACTTGCTCAGCGCACGGGTGTTACAAATCTTCAATCTGTAAAAACCACAGTGGTCTGAAGAGTGCGAGAGACTTAGGTTATGTGGGTACAGTAGCAAGGCTATGGGCTCACATATTCAAGTTCTCACTCGTCCTCTACTCACACATCCAGCAACCCATGGAACCTAAGTGTAGTAACAGTGTCTCCCACAAGGGTCCCACCAGGCCCTCCCAGCAGGAACAGCGCCAGGGTCTCAGCCACCGAGGAGAACCAAGTCCAGCCCTGCCGCTCCGGCCACAGGCCCTACCTTGAGCTGCTGCTGGAGCTCGCTGTTGAGCCTGGCCAGCACGGCGTTGGCCTCTTTATTTTTGCGGATCGCAGTCTGAATCGCCTTCTTTTGTTTAGACGATTGTCTACAGAGAAGCACAAATATTTCAGTGAGAGGACTTTGTGGTCTGGAGCCTGGAGCGTCAAGACTCTCTTAAATCATGTTGCTGGTGTGTGCCATTGAGTTAGAACCAACTCCAAGCAGCCCCTCCAACAGGTCTTCAGAGGCTATAAATTGCATGGGAAGAGACTGTCGATCATCCTCTCACAGAACAGCTTGTGGATTCAAACTGAATGCCTTTGGGGTGGCAGCACAACTAATAAGGGGCGCCAAACACGAAATCACATCTTTACAGAGAGCCAGGCAGGTACACACCAAATGACACGCATTCGTCGGGCTGGATGATTTACCCCTCGAGTCATTCCTGTTTCATATCCTGAAGCAAAGTTGTGAAATGAGCCTTTTCAAATACTTTGGTTCCATTTATCCCAAGACATTCTAACAGATACTTCTTCCTCACAAGTCATATTAACTGCACTGCCCTTTTTGTGCAAATCTCAATGGCATTAAAAAGACCCAAGGGTGGTCCCTGGGCCAAGTTTGAAGGGAAAGAAGATTAAACTCTTCAGCAACTATTCCTACATTAATATAGTCAACCCGCAGAACGCCCTCCATTTCGTCACTAAGCATGAACGTCTGTGTGTGCCTGCGTTCAGCACCAAGGACACATCTGTTAACACTTGAGAAAAATGCACAGAGTTTAAGTGCCCAAACTGTCGCTTCTGAGGGAGCTCTGGTGGGTGAGTGGTAAGGAGTTGTGCTCCCAACCCAAAGGCACATGGTTCAAATCCACCAGCTGCTCTGTGGGAAAAATGATGGGCAATCTCCTCTAGCGTGATTTACTGCCTCTGAAAACCCACCAGAGGCTCAGCTCTGAGTTGGTTCTGATTCAACGGCACGTAACAACAACAACATTGCCATTGAGTCAATTTTGATTGCTAGCAACCCCTACAGGACAGAGAAGAACTGGCCATCGGGTAACCAACAGGGCAACAGTCATGGAAGCAGACTGCTGTGACTTTTCTCCCCCAGAGTGGCTGGCGGGGTCCAACAGCCAACCTTTTGGCTAGCAGGAAAGCACTTTACCCACTGTGCCACTAGGGCTCTTTGTTGTAACTCCAGTCCAAGGGAAATTCACAGGACAGGCGAAGCTGAGGCTACCACGGCTTTCCGTCCGCCCCTCAGTCTGCTCACACTTTCTCCTGCACTGCTAACCAAAGGCTCTTCCCCTAGGGCTGTTCAAATCCACCAGCAGCTCCACGGGAGAAAGGTGGACAGTTTCCTTCCGGGTGCGTCACAGTCACTGAAAAGCTGCCCAGCAGTCAGTGACGAGTCAGCTCCGACATGACAGCAAGGAGGTGAGCAAGTTATTCATTATGGCACCACCCCCTCAAAGCTGTTGACGTTTAGGATGATAGATGAGTGTGGTCACAAGAGGGTTGAGCTGCCCCCTTCCGATCCCAGAGTCAGACTCCTGAAGCCCAGGTGCGTACCCTCTGGCCCCCTGCGTGACTGAGACAGGGCCCCATCACAGGGAGTCAGGGGAGGCTCACCCACGAACTTCACCTGTGCGCGCTGCCGACAGAAAGACGCGTCCGCATACACACACACACACACACGCAAGCACTGTAGCAATGCAGACGCCGGGCAGCATCGTGTTCTGTTGCATATGGAGTCCCCTGGGGAAGACCCCATGCCATGCTGCCTAGCACCCTCCCCGTGTATGTGCCTTGAAGGGGAAGCCGCGGGCTCGCTCTCTGCTCCACTTACTTTTGAACTGTTGGGTGGGCTTTCCCGCTGGAGGCTGAGGCTGCTCCGCCGGCAGCGGGAGGGTGCTCCTGGCTTTCGGAGGCCTGATTCTCAGGTCGGAATTTCCTGCGGATGGGCTTTGATGGAGGCTGGGAGTATGCGATGTCCTGTGGATTATTTTTGTAAAAAAGGAGAGAAAACAGCAAACGAATCCCACTCCACCCCCCACCTCCACAATGCCAATGGCCCAGTGTCACTCTCCCCAATGCCAGGGCAAGGCAGATGATGAAGTCAAACTCCACCCCGAAGTGGATCAAGGAAATGGGGGGGGGCGTGTCTGTCCCTCCGTTGGTGGCATCTCTTTTTGCCATTTAACCTCACACTGATGCAGTGTGCCTGTCATTCCATGGGGTCTTTTATCAATGGGAGCAAACATAGCCCCTGTCTCCCTAAGGTGGCTACAGAGTCTAAACTGTTGGCAAAGGTCTGATTTATCCACTCATCATTCTCCTACACCCTGCTTCGACAGAGTCCCACGGAAGAGGCCAGTGCCTTCTGCAAGGGGATAGTGGGCCTAACGACCGACCCTTCAGAGTCACTCCACCTGTACCCCACAAGTAGGAGCGGAGAGAGGCCTGGGAGAGCGCGAGGAAGGCCAAGATGAGGTGAAGACACAGAGAGTGAGGAGCGGGGCTTCCCGATCACAGGACACGGAATTTGGGAGGCCATGGTGGGTGAAGTGCAGTATCGAGTTGCAAGAAGAGATCCTAGTTCAAGGGTGAGGAGAGACTACCCAGCCCCAAGAGGTATTTACAGGGTGTAACAGATGTGGGTGGTGGGGGTGGGGAGTAGTGCAACTCCCCTCCCACAGTGCCATCAGGTCCTGCAGAAAAGAAGGCACATCCCATTGCCTTACCTTCTTGACGGGACTACCTTCCGCAGCCTGGGAGGCGGCTCTGCTCGACGGTGGGGGCGCCTCAGCCTCAGCTGTCTGTTCAGACTGGAGCAGCGAGTGGGGAGAAAAATGCAAACACGACCATCAAAACAGAGTATGGGGGCCCAGAGAACGAGAGGCCTGCCTGAGGAGTCCCTGAGGCCAAGTCCACTGAGGTGCAGCACAGCACAGCCCACGGAGCCCCACAAAGACCTCCTGAAGGCCCTGCTCCCTGCCAGCTCACCCTCCGGTGCTGGGGGGGGGGCTGCCCTCTGGCACAGCACACACAGAGTCCTGATAAACCAAGCTAAGGCCGTGCTCCGAAACGCACAGTACGTGGAGAAGCGAGACTGGGAAAGAGGACTTCAAGGTTCACCCTGAGTGCTCACACAGGCAGCCTCATTGAAGAAAACGCTCACTTTATAATAAAAGGCCCTCTAGTAAACATCAGGGAGCTCTGGTAGCCTAGAGGTAAGGCACTGTGCTGTGAACTCAAAGGCACGTGGTTCAAATCCACCAGCTGCTCCACGCGCAAAAGATGGGCAGTCCTCTCGCTCGAGAGATAATGCCTGTGAAAACCCACTGGAGGGTCAGCCATGGATCAGTTCCGATGGGACAGTATTCAACGGCAACTAGTAACTAAGGCTCTTTACCTTAAAAGGGACAGAAACAGAAGGCTTCTTAACCTAAAAAGAGGAGAAAGCTTGATGGAAGGTGCACATGGAAGGGTTGAGGTGACCCAGTGTCAGGGGAATCACGGAGGTTTGGTTCACAGCAAGGTGCAAACTCTTCACCATAATTCTTTGGTCCACTCTAAGTTTCTCTTCCTGAAGTAGACTGACAGGCCTGGGCTTTGAACTGGGTGAGCCCGACAGCCCAGGGCTCCCACTACCTCCAGCAGCTCTCAGTGAGAAAAGAACTGTATCTAAACCACCATGATTACCCCAAGGCAGCCCCTCAGTCCTTCCCCAGATCCCAACTCCACCACAGACGCACGGGACCGCACAGCACACTGTCCTTGGGGCTTACTCTGTCCCCCTCTAGCCTCTTACAAGCGTGCCTGCTTCCTTCCTTCAATGGCAAGCTCCCCATCGTGCTAATGTTCCCCAACACAGCTGCCTCTTCTGCTCTCTTCCTCACCGACCCTCTGCCCAAGCTGGTACCATTGGCCACCTCAGTCTAACCCAGGTCCTGGGTGCCTGACGAGCCATCTCTTGGACCGCCCTCTACTTGGAATTCTACCTCCTCTCTGGTTTTAACCTGTCTTTCCACTCAAATGGAGGACTTTTCAAGCTTCTGGCTTCAATTCCCGTGCTCGCTGATCACTGTTTCCCAGGGCTATGCCCTCTCCAGAGAGCTTCAACCACCCTAGTTAGATAACATTATATAAGCACTCCTCACACCCGGTTTCTGGCGGCAAGGATTTCTCAGAGTCTTCTCTTTTCCATTAAGGTTGATAATGACATTGTTATTGATGCTATTAATCGATGCTACGAAACACTGAACACTCATTAGGTGGCGGGCAAGGCTCAGCGTGTGCAAGGATTATCTCATTCGATCATCAGAGCCCCAGGAAGTAGTTATTATCCCGTCTCATTAGTGAAGGGACTGGAGATAGGAAAAGGCTAAGGAACACAGCCCAGATCACACAAAAAGCCTAGGTCCAAGCCTAAGCCCCGGGATCTGAAGCCAGTACATGATCAGGTGGCCCACGGGTAAGAAGCTGCCCTGCAATCCCCAAGGCGTGCAGTTCGAATCCAGCAGCTCGTCTATGGGAGAAAGATGGGCAATCTTCTCCCATGCAAAGTTCTAGTGATTCACAGTCTCTGAAAACCCGCTGGAGGGTCAGCTATGCATTGGTTCTGACTCCACAGTACATAGCAACGACATACAGGCTCAGTGGTGCCCAGACCTGGGTGTGGAACCGCCAGACTATACTGTCTTTGATACTCTTAGGTCTGAGTGTAATTCGTCCAAGAAGTGTTTCTGCAGTTACAGGCATCCTGATCAGGCATGTCCTGATATTAGAGGATGAACACGTCTAGCCAAAGAACAGGCAGTCCCATTTCCATGGAAAAGGACTGTGGTGGGGAAGTCTGAGGGCTGCAGGGCTCCTGTCATCATGGTCTGAAGGACTCAGGAAAAGGCAATGCTTCAGCTGAGGCTCAAGGGACAAGGAGAAAAGCCAGAGAGGGGACAATGCATGTGGCGACGAGCAAGGAGCCATACGTAAGCTCATGAGGACCTGCTGCGCTTCGACACCCATAATGTCACCCAAGATGCTGCGAGAACGCGGAGGCCAATGGCCACGACAGGAAATGCAGAAGCAGGCTTGAGGAGTTCCCTTCTGGACATACTGGCTTGCAGGTGCCTGTGACAGAGACATCCAAGAGCTGTCGAGGAGCCACGCAAGTTGGGAGTGTGGAGGAGGCAAGCACCCCACGATCCATGAGCCAAGCAAGTAGAACCCTGGCAGCTCTGTGAGTGACTAAGTGAGGGGCCAATGGCCTCCGGACACTGGCTTCCGGGAACCTGGCATGAAGGATGCAGCCTGATCCCACAGTGTCCTCTCCCGACAGGCGCAGGCATTCGGCTCTTCTCCACCAGCAGGAAGACAGAGACTCCCTTTCCACTGGAGAGGAATGAAGTCTCCTTCTCACAGAGATACTGAAGGGCTGATAAAAATAGGCCTTCTTTCCAATACAAATGAGGGTTCAGGACCCAGCGAAGCGCCAGAGAGTCTATACTGGCCTCCTTTCCCTCATACTTCTCTCCAAAACCTCTACCAGTGCTATGAAGGGCCAGGAGTGATGAGGACACCTGGGGTGAGAATGTCTGGAAATGTGTTCACAGACAAAACCACGTCGCTGGTAGGTGCTGTCGAGTTGCTTCCAACTCATACTGAGCCTATACGTCCAGCACAACCAAATGCAGCCTCATCCAGCACCATCTTTACCATGGCTGGGGCTTCCATGGTAAACCAACTCTTTGAGGTTTCCCCCTTTTTTGGCTGACTCTATACCAAATATGTTACCTTCTCCAGATGACATATGCAAAGTATGTGTGACAAACTCTGGCCATCCACGCATCTAAGGACAATACTGGCTACATTTCTAAGACAGGTTTGCTTGTTTGTTAGCAGTCCATGGAATATTCAATATTCTTCACCATAGTTCTCTGGTCTATTCTTAATTTCTCTTCCTAAAGTGGACTGACAGGCCTGGGCTTTGAACCTCCATGACTGTTAGGACTCTCCAGTGTCCTGTCAGACCATCAATGTCTGCAGGAAGAATCTGAAGGCTGCCTTGCCCCTTTATACTGGATCATGACCTCTCCCAAATGGATCTACTCAAAGACCTGAATCTCACAAAGTGTTTGGAATAAGGCAGAGCTTGCCAGATTCAGAAACAATTCCGGGAAAAGAGATGGAGAAAGAAAAAAAAAAATTTAAAAAACAAACCAACCTCAAAACCACATAACATTAAAAACTAATAATAAGATATTAAAGCAGGCTAAACTAGCCTGTTTCTTTCTCCTTACAGTAGCATTTCTCGAACTCAAGTCAGGGAGTGTCAGTTCATTTACTGCCTAGAGTTGGGAACATTAAACTTCATAAAAGCCAAAGAGTGATCATTTTAGGCTCTGTGGGTTGTGCAGGCTCTGTGGGTTGTACAGTCTCTGTCGCAATTACTATGCTTCGCCATAATGTGAAAGCAGTTGTAGCCAATACAGTGAACAGGCATGGAAGTGTTCTAATAAAACTTTATTTGTTAAAATAAGCAGTGGGATGATTTAGTCTTCAAGGCCATAGTTTGTCAGCTCCTAGCCTAGCAAGAGGAAAATCATTCTCGGGATAAGTTTAAGGAGCACCGCATAGTCTTACTTCTCTCTCAGAGATTCACAAGATGCAGGACATGCTGCCAGCTCTGAAATTCTGTGGGGTAAAGGAAGCCACTTGTCTGTGTTTAACTCAGCAGTTTCCAAATGTCATTAGCCTCAATTCCTTGTTTTCATGTCCTTTCCATTGTTGCAACTGTTACGTACCGTAAAGTTGGAACTAACTCAATCACAGCTGACACGCCAGTAGGTCTTCAGAGGCAGTAAATCACACTGGATGAAACGGCCCATCATTCTCCATCAAATGAGGTTGCAGATTTGAACCATGTACCTTTGGGTTGGCAGCCCAATTCCTTACCAGTAAGTCACCAGAGCTCCCTTAGTAACTAGGAGTACAAACGATCTGTGGACCACATTTTGGGCAACTCTGCTCTGTTTCAGCAGGACAGAGGAAAACGATGGCATTTCCTGTAATAGCAGCCACCATGTCCCCCACCTGATCCTCTGCGGGGCATTCTCCACGATGGCTGGCAGGTTCCGGGGACGGTGCTGCCCCCTCTTGCTCTGATAACAGCATGAGGATGGGGACTGGGCTGCTCCCCAGCCAGACGGTTTCCTCCCTCCCTGCTCTTTCAGCTGTGGCTGCCACTGCCAACCCCCCTGCATGAATTTCTTTCCTGAGCTCCTTTTCATCCTGCTGGACACGAACACAAGAGAAAGCATCCATTATATCAGTTCCAACAGATGAGAGCGAGCAGCACTAATAAATTATGGATTTTTACAACACAGCTTAGAACAACATGCCTCAGGTTCCAGGCCCACACCCGCAGGCCCCCTTCACAAAGAGCCCAGGCGCTCACTCACCAGCTTCCACGCTGGGCCCGGCACACACCTCGGCGACGCTTGCCCAGCTCTCGTCTTCCTTCCTGTTCCAACCTACCCCACGAACCACGGAGCAACTAATGCCATTTCTCCCATTTGCCTTTCCATCATAGTTGTGTTTGTTTACCCCAAAAAACCCTCTCTTCTGACACAGAAATACTGACCTAAGCAAAAGTTTCTTCCCAACTCAAATTCTGTTTGCTCTACACCCTCTAGGCCAGTAGTCTCCAAACATGGCTGCCCAGAAGAATTCTCTGATAACTAATCTGCTCCTCCATATTATCTCAGGCTTTCCTAATCACAATCGTCCAGAGCTGGACCATTAGAAATTCCTCATTTAACAAGCT